CTGCCCGTCCTGAGCCACTGCCAGAGATCTGCAGCTCTCTCTGCAGGAGGACGTCTGGAAAAATTTGCAAGAAGAATGTGTTCATGTCTGCATGGATTGCTCCCAAAATTCTCTTCCAGGCTCTTTTTTAGCATGGGGAAAAGCATGTGAGAGCGCATGGGTGAAACTGTCTGGGCTTCAAAGCTGCAAGCCTTCCTTGGCAGAGCAAGGTGTGTGCGTGGCTGCCGAGGAGCACCTGCCTTAGGGAAGGGCTGTGCAATGGAAAGCTGTGATGGTGAAGAGAAATGAGTGACTTGGACACCTGGAAAGGTGGGTGAGGAGAGAGAAGAGCCTCTGGAGAAGGATCTTGAAGTTATTGGGTAAAATGAGCTCTGCTGAGGGTACGCAGCAATGAATTCACATGACGTGGGCATAATTATTGTAGCCCAGATCAGAGAGGAGGAGCTGTCTAAACTCATTTCTTTTTGCTGCATTTCTCATTTAGATATGTTTTTTTATCTAATGGATCTCTGTGCAGTCGAGCTCGGGGATGAGAAAGGCCCTGTTTGCTGTGGAGGAGCAGCGAACAGAGCAGAGAGGTGGGGTTTGCTGATGAATATCAGCTTCTAGAAACAAATTGTTTTTCTTGCTCCTGCTGCTGCTTTGCTGAGGGACTGGGGCATAGATCTCGTTTTAGAAATCTCACAGTGTGCCTTTTGTGTTTCTTAGACAGGACAGTAGGGAGAATAAATCCGTGGCATGGAGGGGGGTGATGTCTGTGGGTGACACTCTGGTTGTGTTTTTGTCCTGTGCTCATCACCAGCCCCGTCACACCGAGATGTTCTGCCTTGCCTACCTGGAAATCAGTGTCAGTGCCTCCTCTGATGGACTATTAATACTTCCCAAAGCCCTGGAAGCCTATCTCATAAAAGCCATGAGTGCCTTGGTGCCCTGCTGCATGACTGGAAGATTTATTGCTACAAGCAGCAGAAAAGCATCTGGGGAAGCAGAGGGGTTGGTTGCTTAAAGAAATTTTAATATCACAGGTCCCCACATTCCAGTTCATCTTTACCAAAGGAGTTACCAAGTTAGAAGGTCCAGTGGGAGCAGAGAGAACATGTTATCAACGCTGTTATAGTGAAGGCTGTGCCAGCACTTTTTATGAAAACCTTCTGTTTTCAAATGGCTATAAATAGTTGGTTAAATGCACATAAATAGATCCTACCTGGGGGTAAATTCTTGACTTTGAAGTGAGCAGACTGCTGCTTCTCACTTTTAACCTATATAAAATGAGGGACAGCAGTGTTGCCAAATACGAGTGTTGAAAATTGTAAATGCAATGTAAAAAATAACAATATGCTTTGAGATAATTTTATTTGCCATCTGGTTTTGTGCTGTCAGTTATACTTGCATCATGTTTTCTCTGCAACTGTGAAGTTTCTTTATTTTGAAACAAAAACAAAGATTGCCATCTCTAGTACCTTGACTTCAGGATATCGAAATTGAAGAAAAGTTTTTAATCAAATCAAGTCTTGCAAAGCTTTTCAGAAAGGGAAGAATGCTGGCAATGGTAGGGCATTTAGGGAAGTTTATTAATCTCTTTTAGTTTTGTGTAAAAGCAGATTAACCAAACAGACATAATGAATGCATCAGACATCTCCATGCATTCACAATGAATGTTTGCAGGTAGGCATTTGGAAATTAGAAAGCATTAAGTTAAAACACGTATTTTCTCTCTATGGTTTTACCCTAAAGAATTAACTTTCCACACCCTTAAAGGCATTTGCTACACTCTTACAGCCACATGTAGCCTAAATAATCTGTGGGTTTGTGATTAAAGCTTTTTTAAATATTTATCTTCCTTGGGGTTTTAATATTTGATATTCTGGTCTCTGTCTTGTTTTTATGGGAAAAAAAAAGGCAAACAGAAGATGACATGTACAGGACTGCTGTCATTGTGAACTGGCATAAAGATCAAAACTCCTTTTTTTTTGCTTCAGTTTGTGGACATGCAATGGAAATAGATTTGTGCAGTTTTTGGGAATATGAAGCAGCTATATGAACCATTTTAAGTTGGGATAAAATGGTTACCTTGCTGTATAAAGATGTCTGGAGTGCAGGTCACATTCCCCACTAAGCAGATACGGCACCTGGGGACATGGTTTAGTGGTGAATTTGGCAATGCTGGCTTAATGGTTGGGCTCAAATGCTCCTGAAGGTCCAACCAAAATGATTTTGTGATTCTGTGGCTGAAGTAGGGTCCCACCACAGAAGGAGGAGAGGCATTTAGAGCTGAACCTCTCTGAAATGGTTTCCCAAATAAGACAGGAGGTCTTGTTCTTGAATGGCTGCGGGGCACCGCTGTGCAGAACGAAGGCAGATGGGAGAAAATTGTCATTTTTCATTGGGCTGAGTTATCCTGCTCCCCTGGTTTTATTTAAAGTAAACTTTAAATCAAGACCAATACCTCTGGTCAAGAGGTATTTTGGGGAGAGTTGAAGACATTCAGACAAGGACAGCATCCATGTCCCCAGCCTTCCACAGTGAGGACCTGAGTGCACTCAGCCATGGCAGGCGGGGATTTTGGAGGGGCTTGCCAAGCGTGGGGCTTTAACTGTATCGTGCAAGGAGGCTGCAGGCATGCTGTGCCCTGGCATGGGGGTCTTTTCCCCCACAGCCCAGCAGAGGCAGATCCCACTGCCAGCCCTGCCAGGCAGCCGATCTGTGTGTGGAGCTCGTGCCCACGCAGTGACTGCTTTGGGTTATTCATCTCCTGTAGCAGGCTCTGCTGCCTCCTCCCACCCCAAGCTAATCGCTGTGCAAAGCTTCCAAGGTACACCAACTTTGTGTGGCAGCTAACAAGCTTAGCTGATGAGTTCTGCCATCATCCTTCTCCAGAGCTAATCAGCTTACCAGTGCTCCAGAGCTAATGGGCCTGTGGGTCAGAGCAGCACCGTGAACTGCTCGCACACACATTTCCCACATCCATCTTTAATTGCATGGCTGCTGCTTTAATGGAGTTTCCTCCTGCATATGCTTCACCTTTTTTTCCAATGGTTATCGCTTGTTATTTTGCTGCCAATTCTTTTTTTTTTTCCCTCAGATGCACAGTTCATTAAACACTATTTTCATGCTATGGTTGAGATTTCAAATATCAGCTGCTTCCCAGTCATCCTACCCAGACTGGGTGGTGGCCAAAATTTATTTACAAACGGAAAATTACACTTGGGATAGCACATCTCATGAGCACCGTGTGCTTTTTACCAGTGCATCCCTGAAAAAAATTGATTCCAGCAGAGAAAATAATTGAGTGATGTCAGCTCTCAAAAGTCAGGATTTCACAGAGTTGAGAGTGGAAGGGCTGAGAGCTGCTGCAGTGGAGGTTCTGCAGCCGAAGAGCGACGCTGCCAGCTTCTAGCCCTGTCATCTTCAAGTGCAGCAGCTGAGAGCTGCACCTGCGCCTGCATCCCTCCCCTAGTTTGAAGTGGCTTCACAATCATTTTGCTAGAAAAGGTATTTTATCCTTTTCACTCACTACGTGAAAGCAAGTGGAGAAAAGCGACTGACAAAGAAATGCTGATGGCAACGTATCAAAAACGCCGACTCTGCATTTGGCGAGCAATCCAACGATAAAAAGATTTTTTTTTTTCCCCCCTTCTATTTTTTCAGCTTTTATAATGGCAGGGCATGGGAGCAGGTGAGGCATCTGCCTGAAACTTTGTGTGGAGTTGCAGCGTGTCTCTGGCTTGTCAGAGCTCCAGGCTGGGAGATGATGGGAAGGGTTTGATGCTGAAGTTGGTGGCTGAGAGCAGATACACATTTGCAGCTGTGCTCCATCCCCATGTGCAGCAACGCTTGGTGCTTGGCAGCAGGGACAGGACACCCATCCTGCTCCTCACCTGTCCCTAGAGCAGAGCAGGGGCACAGCAGGCAGGGCCATTTCCAGGAGGAGTCACTCACAAGGGTTTTGCCATCTGAGCTCCCAGCTGTGAGCATGCTGCAGAAGCTCCTGGTGACTTAGGAAAACATAATTAAATACTGCATTGTTAATAACATGGTTAAAAGGAGGTTCCTCTTGACCATATCCCATTCTCAAAAGCAAAATGGAAATGGCAGAAATACCATTTAGAAAGTGGGATGTTGTTGTCTGTTCTAATTTTCATTAAATTCTGTGCTTCTGCTCCCCTACAACCATGGTTGCACAGGTTAATTAACACATGTTGTATGAAAATTAAAGTCCTTACCTTGTACTTTTTTCATATGAGTTCTCTCCTGTTCTCTTCAGAGCAAAGAGCAATGCTCTTTCTTCCCTTATTATAATCCTGATATTTTATAGACCTCTTTTATGAGCCTCTTGGTTTTTGTCCCTTCATACAGTTTTCCCAGAATTTCTGGGGGATTTATAAAAACCTCTTTCTTTGTTTTCTCTGGTGCTTTTCAGTACTCTCCTAGGTCTGTCTTAAAGAAACTGCACAATGTTTCAGATAAGTATAATCCACTAATTAAAAAGTTGCATTACTGTAAAATCCAGACTGTTCCCTATTTTCTCTTCATTACTGTCCAATACTTTGTCCAAGTTTTGCTAACTCTTGGAAAAAGCACTACCAAAACAGAGGCCTGGTTGTCCTCTGCCCTGAGCCACATATTTCTCTCCCCATATTATACTATGGACTATCTATACTACTATAAATAGTATACTATTTATATATATAGTATACTATAAAGTAGTATAAAAGAGAATTTTATAAAAGAGTACTATTAAAGAGGATTTGAACATGGTTTTAATAATTTTTCCTTGCTCATTTGCTGGCATGGGCTCATGGTTTGCCAGTCCAAATTGGTAAGCTCCTTCCCAAGCCTTTATTTAAAAACCAGGTTTGACAAGAGCCCAGTGTTCTGCCTTGCCCGAGAATTCTTTGATTTCCAGGCAAACTCCACACGCATAGGGAGGAGTCCTTCATGATAAAAATTAAAATGACAAAATTAACTGGGGAAAAAAAAGCACTTTGGGACACTTTTAGTCAAATTAGTTGGTGTTTCTCTGGAACCTCAGTGAATATGTTTGAGGAGGGGAGAGACAAAGTCATGTTGCCCTTAGGACATTGGAGTCTGGTGGTTCTTCTTCCCCATAGGAATGTGCCAGAACTGGGGTGTCCCAGCTGGGGAATACTGGGAACAGCTGTTCCTCCTCCTTGCTCTGGGGTCTGTAAATCCAGATTTCTTCAGAGTGGAGACTGAGAGAAGGTTCCTGACCACCCTGTTGAAGGAGATACAAAGGGCTTGCTTTTCCTTTTGTCTGTGTGTAATTCCTGCTGCGTAAAACACATCATATGTGTGTAAAAACAAATATAAATTTGTATAAAACGCCTCACTGAGAGCACCAAAAGTTGAGCAGCTCTTCAGAAGGGTTTGGTTCAGAGGCAGGTTAGCTTGGCTGCCAAAGGGGGATGGCACCACACGGCATCCACGGTGGAGTCTGTCTGTTCTGCACGGAGATAGCGAGGAGGAAGTGGGCTGGCTCTCAGCCACAGCAACAGATTGCTCCTCTTTTGCAGACTGAAGTCATGTCTGAAAGTAGCTTTGGTGCAACGATACACCATCAAGTGAGCATGTTTTAATAAACCCATTCCTTTAGTTGGGATCCTCTGGACTTAGAATGCATCCATTGACTCATACTTTGTGTCTTGCCATACCTGAGCATGTGTCAGATGTTCACAGGCGGTGAGAAAGAACGAAGCCCCGTTTCTGTTCTGGCTGTGGACTTTTCTCTCTGAATCAGCCCTGAGCTCTGCTTCACGTTTGACACCTGCCCCATCAAAGGTTCCATCTCCCAGGCCTGGTAGTCACTGATTGCTGGTGAGGAGCACACCTGGAGATGTTTGCCAGGCTCGACGTGGAGCATCCCTGGTGCTGATGTTCTTTATCTATAAAGGCAGCAGAGAAAGGCTGGGGCTGGTGGTGCCTTGCATAGTGTGTGAGTGTAATTAAGAAGATCAACTGTGCCAGTTTTCTGACTCCCCTCTGCTCGTGTGAGGAACAATAGCACTAAATGATGATTGTAATTCATTACAAATGCACCCTAATTAAATTACCCATCAGTGGCTGCAAGATTAATGATACCAACCCGAGTTAAAACATGATTAAAGTTAGGCTTGTCACATTTTTCAGTTATTACATGGAAGTTCACAGGAGGAAGGGATGGAGCAGAGTGCAAGGTGTGATTGGATGATGCTGTGGAACACAGCTGAAGCAACCAAAGGCTGTGGCTAATGGTGCTCCTTTGGACTTTGCTGGGGACAAACCCCCCAAAAGCTTTCCTCAGGTCTGCCAGGAGGGCTGTGGGGCTGTACCTTTGTCATGGAACATTGTTAATGTGAATGTTTGTAGGATGGGAAGGAGGGTCCTGCAGGGAGTCTGGCACAGCAAGGAACTGAGCCTGGATCTCCCAAACTTAGGCTTAACTCTCTGAGTTTACCTTGCTGAGTTGTCTTGCCTTTCTTCATTTTTATTCTGTATTCTGCATGCTGAATATGAGCCAGTCTTTCTTGAAAATACCTGTAAAAATAGCAGGGAAACACCATGGATGACATAGGGAATAGTATCAAATACACCAGAGCATCAGCCTTTCTCCCCTTCCTTAGAGAAGTTTTACATTAAAAATGGCTCAAATACAGCAAATATGTACAAGGGGAAGACAACAACACAACTTTGCCACAGGTGCAATATTTAGGGTATTTTATAAAAAGAGACAAAACAAGGCACCTGACCATGCAGCATTGTGAATTTTGCTGCCTCTGTACCACTGGAGAAGCCTCTGGAGGTGTTCCCAGGCTCAAGTGAGGGGGAGGACCAATATGTGGGATGTGTTTAGGTGGATGAGAAGGAAAGAAAGATGTCATAAGGACTGTCTCTCTGAACACCCTCGCACAGATTGGCTCTGCTTGGCATTGGTTCTGTCATTAGCTGGCAAATAAGCAAGGAGGAATCTTTTCAAAGTAATTTCATTTTCTAATATTGTGCATCCTGTCCTTAAATGCCTTTGCTGATTGGATTGATGGTGCCAGTCCAGAAATGGACATTGTTTACCAGTTGGGGCTGGACTCCTAATAGAACTTCTCAAACTCCTTGAGAAGCAGCTCTTGGATGCTCCAAGCAGAAATAAATTGAGCAGTGTGGTAGATGTGCCCTTTACATCAGTGGAATGGACCTCATTAGAACATTGTACACAACTGTTTAGGGCTGGGGCAGCAGAAACAAGTGGAGTTCCTGGAAATGAGAATAAACCAGGGCTGGAATGAGAAAGCTGCATGTGTCTGAGAAGAGGCAGTTTTGGTTTTTGCATGGTGTCCTGTTGAGTTGTTCCCTTTGCTGAATGCTGGGACAGCCTGGGGCTTGTGAAACACAGGAGGATGCAGGAAGGGGTGCTGGAACAGCAGGTGCTGTGGGGTGAGACAGCCCATCCTCTGCCATCCCATGGACTCTCCAGCACTGTTGTGGCAAGCAGATGGCACTTACCAGCTGTGCAAGCCTAATTAATTCTCATCAAAGTTACTGGAAGACATTTCTCTGGGGAATGGATGGTTACCAAGAGGTTCAAACCCTGCTTGGAGATGCTAATACTGAATGTCGTCATCTCCGTGTTTGGATGACCTTGCTTCTGTGGATAAAATGAGGCATTTTCCAGGTTTTTTGCATGTTCTCTTCAGCAGTGCTAGTGCTCATAATACTGAAATGATTTCCCTTGAGCAGGATAGGGATGAATAACCTCAAAGACTTTTCCTCCATAAAATCATCAGCAAAAGCCATCTCTCACTACACCAGATTTGTAAGTGTAAGTTTTAGAGGCAGAGGTTAATTTTTGTCTTTAATGTAAGGGTGATAAGGCCCTGGCACAGGCTGCCCAGGGAGGCTGTGGCTTGAAGCTCCCTGAAAGAGTCCAAGGCTGGGTTGGACAGGGCTTGGAGCAACCTGAGATAGTGGAAGAGTGTCCCTGCCCATGGCAGGGGGATTGAAACAAAAAGGTCTTTAAGATCCTGTACCATGGGAATCAGTGGATCCAAGAGGGAGCAGGCTGGGGATTGCTCTCCTCCAGATTTCCTGATCTTGTACACATTAATGCAGGGAGATGTTGGCTGCTGGAGCAGTGGGTGCCTCTGTCACAGACCCAGCATGGTCTATGAGTTCTGGGAAGGTGGAGGCATCACCTACAGCTCTTGGCACCCTGGTCACATCTCATCTTCTGTTGGAGAGTTCAGAGCTGCTTCCACAGGCCATCAGCTTGTGAATAAATACCTGTCAAAGGAGAGCTGCCAGCTGGCTCAGCCATCAGAGGGGCCTCCCCCACAAATTTTGGGTAGTGCAGCAGATTTAGCAGCTAATATCAGAGTTTTGTGGCCTACTTCTTTCTCTCTGGAGGGTTTTGTGACCTGGCTATGTAGCCTTGAAGCTACATATTGCTCTGCTTGTTATTTCCTTACTAAAGCTAAATGGGTTTTTCTCTTTTCTTTTTTTTTTTTTTTTTTTTTTTTTTCCCCAAGTGTTTGGACTTGCTTTTATTTAGGACACAACCCTTTTTGTCTTTCTGGTTTTGCCTTTCCTAACCATCTAATACAGACAAGGTTGTTGGGATTCAGCAAAATAGCTGACTCACATGGGCAGATGTTGAGATTTTCCTCTGTAATTGAGCCTACAAAAGGGGAATTTTCCTTTAGGCATTGTGGAGGGAGAGCTCTGCTGGCTCTGACAGGTGCCAGGGGAGTGGTGGTTGGAAGGAGATGTCCTTTAACTGAGGAGATGGGGTGAAGCTGGGGAGTTTCAGTGGTGCTATACATCAGTGGTTTAGATCCAGTCCGTGCAGACAGAGATGAGAAGTCATTTCATGCTGCCCTCTTGATCAGTGACCTATGTGAAATGAGTTTGGGTTTAGTCCAGTTCTCTGCAGATGAGCTGCTTGCAGAGAGCAATCAACGTATCTGGCATGGACAGGCACCCCAACCAGCCACCTCAGCACGGGCCAAGGATGCAGAGCTGTCCTGGAGGCCAAGATGAAGTTACACAAAGTCTGGCTTAGGACTTCTGCTGTAATCTGCTACCTTGGTGCATCTTGCACCTTCTCCGTGATGGATGTCCATCTTACCAGCTCCCAAGCTTCTGGCTGATGCTTTGATGCACCCACAAATTAGAAGGGACAAAAGCCTGGAGGGTTTTGAGTCCTTGGTGCCATGCTGAGCTTGCCTTTGTGGTGAAATAAAGTGCATGTTAACAGGGATTGTGTCTCTTGAGGTCATGTCCCCTTACTGCCCCAGGGCTGCCTCCTTGTACCCCACCAGAACAGCTCTGGGCCCACCTCAGACCCTTTTCAAGGGCAGAAGAAGCTGTGGAAGGGCAGAAGAAGCTGTGGAAGGGCAGAAGAAGCTGTGAAAGGGCAGAAGAAGCTGTGGAAGGGCAGAAGAAGCTGTGAAAGGGCAGAAGAAGCTGTGGAAGGGCAGAAGCTCCATTGCCTGGAGTTCTCTCCTTGACCTCTGCTCAGCCAGGGCTCCACACACTCCTGAAGGGGTTTCTGCTCCTGTCAGACACTGCAGCCACAAGAGCAGAAGTCTGGTGGCCTCCAAGAGCTAAAAAATACTTTGTGAGGATCGAGTCTCTGCAGTATGGAGATGTTTCTTTTAGAATAAATCACTCTCTGATTCAAAAAATGCATATTCCAGGCTGATGAGTGATCTGAGGTAGCAGCAGCACATGGCACTGCCTTGCTGTTTCCAGACAGATCCCTCCAGGACAGAGCTAAAGAGCAGAGTTGGAGGAACTGAGGAGCAGGTGAATGTGTGGATGCTGCTCCCTGCTCACTGTCCTGCCAGCTCAGAGGCAGTGTCCTGGTTCCATAGCCTGTCATCAGTGGTCAGCAGATGGGCCCCAAGTTCAGCCTGATTAGACCTATTCAATCAACAAGGCCAAGTTGCTTCCTGTCTCATCCCATATGGTGGCTCCTGCTGTCACTGTTCTTGTGGGAAAAGCTCTGAGCAGCCTCCTGGACTCGAGTCCAGCCCCTGCTTTCCCCTCACCACGTAGGAGAGGCACTGGGAGCACCAGTGTTTCTGTGGAGCGTGGCTGCAGAGCGGTGCCGTTTGCCTCAGTGCTGCTGCTGCTGGGAGCTGGCACTGCTCCGTCCCAGTGGATGCTCCCCTGCCACTTGGCAGGGACAGGCTCCCACTGGGAACTGCTCCAACACCCTGCAGATGTCCAGGGCCCATGCCCTGCCTCAGATCTGTGAGCATAAAGGTGAAACAGATGGATGAAAATTAGTTCTGAACAGATTCCTGAGCTGTCATTCAGTGGCTGAGGAAGGAATGGAGAGACCAAACTGAGGCAATTTGGGTAACTCCAACTCATTCTTCATATGTTCTGCTGGAAATTGTCACTTGGAGTTAATCCTTTCTATGGATTCTTAATTTTTGTTTCAACCACAGCAACAAGCTAAGTAGCTTGCTTTGTAAAATGGTAGGTGTAGGGTGCCAACAACACAACTGGCTCCCAGGGAAGTTCAGAAGAGTGCCTGGAGTTGGTTTGTCCTTTCCTGTGGAGATATGGGGAGAGGGAATGCAAAATTGAAGGGCTCTAGATTCAAGACTTGTCTAATGACAGGCTGTGATCCAAATGGGTAATGCACACAAAGCTTCTAGACATCATCCTTTAACATCTTTTATCCTGAGAATGTCCTAAACAGCTTCCTGATATAGCCAGCCCTCAGAGCTTGTGCCAGTCTCACAATCTTCATCATTTCAGGGTTATTCTCTCCAGTTCCCCACACTGGATATCTCCTCATGTCCTCCTGTTGTGTTCTGGCATGCTGAAATAGAGAAGGTCTCCTCTTGATGCTCAAATGCTCCAATTAATCACCTATGGCAGTTTGTGTCTCTTATTAGTTTGGAAATTCAGAGAAATGCCAAGGGGTTGGCACAATCTGTTGAGGTGGGGCATGTCTGAGTGCTGAAGAGGAGCTGGCTCAACCATAGCTGGTTTTGTTTGTCTTCACAGTTGTTACCACACGTTTTCTGTGATCACATAACTGAGATCTGAGTAGATCCAATTTCAGTTTTTTCCCTCCTTTTATGATTCTGGGCTTATTAGCCCTGACAGTTATTTATTTGTCCTTAGTTGTAGGCTGAGGCAGCTTTATGGATAATGTGGGAAGCATGTCTTTTCTAATTAGACCACAGTCTGTTGTCTGTCTGCCTCATGGGCAGGACACAGCATGCTGTTTTGCTGAGTTTATAATAAATAGCAGGAAGCCCTGGATGCAGGAGGTCATGTTGGGCTTTTTTTCCACAGAGTTTTTAGAGCAACAACTCACAACATCAGTGTTCCCGAGACTGAGCAGGAAACAAAACCTATGGAATATATTCTCCTCTCACTTCCCACAGTGAGCTATTTAAATTACATTGGGGCATGATGAGGTACAATAGGAACTGAGAGCAGCACACCATGCCCAGCCAGACCACAAGCTGTGTTTGCAGGAACTTACTCCAACTTATTTCCTGTGTCCCCTAGCAAGGTGCCAGCACACATGTTGCATCCCAGCCCTGTCAGGAGTTGTTCTCTGAAGTATTGCAGCAACTAATGAGGAACATTGGCTTCCTGGAAGCTCACACCTTTTCTTTTCCCAGCATGATCACCTGTAGAATGTGTATTATGTCATCATTATGAGTCCAGTAGCTTTATATAGTGTCCTATCTCGTATAAAAAGTCAAAGCTGCTGTGTCTTGCTCTTTGAATTCAGTGGCCCATAGCAGGGGGGTTGGAACTAGATGATCTTTAAGATTCCTTCCAACCCAAACCATTCTGGGACTCTATGAATAATTTCCTTGCATCTTTCTTGAGAGCAGCAGACAAACTTGTGCAGAGCAGCTCCTGGCTCTTTGTGGGCAGTGAGGAGGGAGTGAAGTTTGTTCTGATGCTACCAGGGGAGCTGGGATTGGAGGGACAGCTGTCAGGAGCATATCACCAGTCTTCCTCCTCCAAGTCCCAGCAGAGCACTCATCCACATCTTTTTCATTTGCCCCGATTTCAGCAAAGGGGACGGTAACAAGCCGTGTTCATTACCAAACCTTGCAATTCAAGAAAACTCTTAAAATAGCAACTTTCCTTATTCTTCAGCTGCTGGCTCACTGCCCAGGGAAAATAGTGGGTTGAGAATATGAGGCAACAACTTTTATTTTTCCAGTAATAGTGCTTTCAAACTACATGTCTGTTTAGGAACATTAATCATTGTAACTATGGGGTAAAAAATCTTCTGCCTGTCTTTAATCTTACCTGTGCAATGAGATGGCAACACTGAGCTCTTGCTTTCTGTGGATGATTAAGAAGGGCCAAGCTTCAAATAGTTGACTATATCTTTTTCTCAATTTGCTTTTCTGTCAGCTTAAATTAGAGATGGTCTTAGCCATTCTGTTGCAAACTCTCCTTGTCCTGTGATCTTCTCTGCTGTTGCAAACTCTGCAGGGCTGGTCTGGGTTAGCCCTGCTTTGGAAAATCTGCAGTAAAGGTTTGTCAGAAGGTTTTGCAGTAAAAAACACCCTTTTCTGTGGCAGCCATGGGCACAGCATGCAGTGAAGAGATGTTGCATTGCCTAAGGGTCTGCCCTGCAGAAGAGATACAGAACTGCTTGTAGGTCTTGATTTCTTGTGGCACTTTTATGAGATTAAGAGTAGTTCTTGACAAATATTGATGTATTTGCAGTGTAATTACAAAGCTTGGTTGGTATTTATATCTCCTTTCCAGCCTGTGCTAGCACTGGTAGACGGTGTTAAAGAGGTCCTGCATGATTAGTAGCATTAAGTGATACTTCAAAGTGTTTTCCAGACAATAACTCATCCAGTTTGGTGCCTGTGAGGGAGAATAGATCCCAAGGTATTATTTGTAGCATTTCCTGTTTGTAAATCCCTACAGAATCTCTGAGAGGCAACAGAAATGTCATGCATGTGATAAATAAATGGTATAAAATGGTACAAGATGACAGCCAACCTTCCCACATGGCTTGGATGCCTCTTGCAAGCGTTGCCTGCTGTGGGGCAGATGTTCTCATTAGGGGAGAGGAGGGTGGGCATGCAGGGGTGGAGGTGCTGTGCAGGAGGTGGCTCCCAGGCCGTTCTTCTGCCAGATGGTGGAAGGGCACGGCACTGCCTGCAGCACCTGGGGCACTGAGCAGCACCTGCTCTGACTTCACAAAGAGGGTTACATGGATGGCTGGGCAAACACAAACCGTTCTGACTCGTGCAGTGACTCGCTCCTGCATGAACGTTCACACAGACTGGATACCCACGGGATGAAATCCTTGGGCATGGGTTGTGTTTGTGTTGCTCCTCGGCGCAGCTGGTGCATGCCCAAATTCCTACTGAAGGGACAGTAGGGCTGAGCAGCATGTGTTGTCTTCATTAAACTCTGACTGTTCCTCACGTCCATTTTTGCAGTTTCTGTTTCTATATCCCTTCCCTTTGAAAGCTACTATGGGTGAGGGTTTCTAAGGGGCAGGAGTAGGTGTCAGCCCTTCTGGTAGGTTGGCTGCTCTGTATCTCACCATCTTCTGATAGACCTCCCTTTAGCTTTCCTTTCTTGCATTGTTGTTAGCAAAAGAATTAAGCACAGCAGGCTACTGCCCTTTTTTGCAAGCTCCAACCTGCAGGTGCTGTAGAGAAACACCACAAGCACTCTGTCCCTCTCCCAGCTCCTCCTCCAAAAGCTTTTAGCTGTCAGTAAGCTTGGGATAAAACCCCGAGCATAAATGACAGCCACCAAGCCAGTGCAAAAAAGTCAGAGGTTGGGAAGTAAACCCAAGTGATTAAAGAAAATGGATTTCAGAGAAGTGGAGAGGAAGGCAGAGTGAGCACATAGAGGAGGAAGAGAACTGAAAGCCCATGGCAGGGCAGAATAGCCAGGGTGAATAAACAGCCAGCCAGCGTGTTCCACCAGCACGGCTGATTTGCTCCTCTCTTCCAAACGGCTTAGCTGAGACCCGCAATTTGAAAATAAACTTTCCTTTTGTTTTTTAAACAGTTCAGTGCCTAGGAGAGCATCAAACAGCTCGGGTTTCAAATCAAAATGAGATTGTGGTGGTGGTGTTGTCATTGTACCTGTTCCGCTGCTCTGGTCTTTGGGAGGAGGAGGCGTCTTTGGGGAGCGGTCCCAGCCAGGCTCGTTGCTATGGCAAAGTCTCTGCTGATGCTTGCTCTCTGCCTGTAATTGCTATTCAGCAGCTGTTTCCAGTGGTTGTCTGAAGGAACTTGCACAAGTTAAGGACATGAAAATCCCTCCCTGTATGTTGGCCTTTGCTGGAACTGAGCTTTGACAAGAGAGATGCATTAGCTTCCAAACTCACAAGTAATTAGGTTGGTTTGAGTGTACTTTGCTGAAAGTTAAGGCTTTGGGGCTGGGAAAGGAGAGTTGGGAGGTGGNGGGGGGGGTGGGAAGTAGCAACTTTAAAATCAATATTGCAAATGCAATGCAAAAGAGTGTAATTAGCATGTTTTGCAGAGCCTATTAATTCCTCTGAAATGCTGTTTATTAGGCATAAGAACTTTGGGAGCCCATCAGTGGATTAAACAGGTTCTGTAATGAAATGTAAATGGTGTAATTGGGCTTGTTCTGAAAGTATTTATTCTTCACCTGTGACCCGCTTGATTGCGGTTTGACAACACGAAGGAGTGTGCATCTCCTGGTTAATGACAGCTAATTCCCTGGAGCTAATGGAGTGGGACGCCCAGGCTCACGGTGCCAGGAGCCGCGGGTCACGCCTGGAGCTCCCCAGTGATTGGCACCAATCCGAGCACAATGTAACTTTAATTACAGTAATTCCAAATGTAAAGCAAGCATTTAGCTGCTGGAGAGAGGCTCTTAATTTTGCAAATAGGTGCCGTATAATGGGATGACCTTTTATTAGGTAAATATTGGGATGGGTGGGGATGCTGGCCTCCAAGTTACAGGTAGCAGGTTGTTGGTTCCCATTAGCTCAGTGAAAATCACAGAGATGTGTTCTCCCTTCCAGGTTAACCACACGGATTTCCTTCAACAAGCAACATTGTGGAAATGTAGTCCTCTGTGCTATTTAAATGCAGTCTTTCCATCAAGGCATGAAATTCTTCTGTTGCTCTTTTCACCTTCTGTGTGCATTTTTGTCAGCGTAGACAACTGGGATTTCTGTTGTTGTTTTCCCTTTTTACAAACCCTCTTTACCCAAACTGTGCAGTGCTAAATATCTCCAGGCACACAGGAAAGGTCACGTAGCTCTCTTGGAGAGTGAAACACTCAGTTTTGCCTGGCATTGTGGTATCCTTAGTTAAATGCTACCATCAGTGTTGGTTCCACTCCCTCTTTTGTAGGGTTGAGAGTGTATTCCCAGCCACAGCTTCCCTTCTCATGCTGGAGAAGGTCTTTCAAAGCAGAGACTGGCTGTTTTGTGGGAGCAGAGGGTGCTGTGCTGAGAGGTTCTGGAGGACTAGAAATCCCCCAGCTCTCCCCAAACCCATTAAGGCCTGCAGCCTCCAAACTTGCCTTCTGTTAGCTCAGTCTCTCTCTTAAGAAATGGACTTGTTAGAGTTGAAATGAGCCCAGGCAGGGAAGCTTGTATCCAGGAAATGTCCAAGTCTGTGTGTGTGTGTATTTGGAGTAGGTCCCCAGGGGAGTGCTGTAGGCTGTTGTATTTAATGTTTGGAGCACAAGCAATACAATTTCTGCAAGCAATGCCTTTCTTTTCTATTTCATTATTCTTCCTCCTCTGCCTCTTTCCATCTGCAAGCTGAGAGGCAGAGAGGTGGCAGTGACAGCATGGTCACAGATCTCTTTACATCGTTGATCTTGGGCTTGTCCCCAGAGTCAGGACAGGCTGGAGAGGGCAGGGTGGGAGGCAGCTGTACAGACTGAAGGACAGCACAGCCAGTAGACATTTGGCAGCCTGAACAAATGAAGGAATGAGCATCACTGAGCAGGGGACTGGCAAGAGGCAGCTGCCTGAAACCAGTCCAGCAGTGATGAGAGCGGTGGCAAAGAGGAGGGAGCATCCTCACAAGGCCAGGCACGTGCTCCTTCCTGGCAGATGGCTTTCCATGCACCATTCCTAATGCCAGCAGAAGTAACACCTTCTCTGGATGAGCTCCTGCTCGTGCACAGCAGCCTCTCTCTGTGCTGGATCTGTGCTTTGTGGACAGTCAGTGCACTGGCACACATCTGGAGCAGAGGCAGAGCAGCTCCAGCGTGGCTGCACTGAACAGGTTCTCCTGGTGTCAAAGCATCCCATTCCCCCCAGCTTCTCATCTGGAAGATGCAGCTGTGATGGGAATCTTGCTGGGAAGTGATATATGGGAGGACCAAGTTAACATTGCAAAAAGGAGATTTCCTTGGCAAAAAAGCAATAACGATTCTGATCATTGTCAAGTCAAAAATCTTCAGGTTTGCCTAGCTAGCCTTTGCTAACATGCCACATCACATCCTAATGATGTTTCCTCTTGCTCCTTACCTTAAATCTTTGTACATTGTCTGTTGATCTACAGATTGAAGACAGTCACCCCATGTTAAATAGAGAAAGATACTCAGGAATTTCTCCTGAAGCACTTTTCAGCACATAAATGTAAAAGTCTTGAGAGCTTCAGACTAAGTCCCTCTTTTCATGGAGTCCAAAGGATTGCTTTCTGGGGCAGGCTGTGCCAGATCAGTAGTTCTCTAGCTAGTCTTCCCTGATATTTTATCTTTGAGATATGGGAAAGAGAAAGATAATATGGCTCCACAGAAACTGGATAAGAGCTGGCAAATGTTTGTATCAGCCAGCCCAACATGAAGTGCTGCAGCCGGATGGGCTTTGCATGGGGAGCCTTGGATCCAGAGGAAGATTGGATGTTGTTAACATGGTCAAGTGCCTCAAGGAGAGCCTGGAAGAGACCTCAGGCTCCTTATCCTTCCCATCCCTCCACCTATTTATTCTTTTTGGAGTCATTACAGCCACTTGTTCCTTTTTTCCCTTCAATTCCCCATTTTGCATCCTAATAAAGGAGCCATCCCATTGCATGTGTGCCTTGCATATAGAAAGCTGTACAAAATAGCTTTGTGAGTGTGAGTAGTGAGGAGCAATTGAGTGCTTTGTCTCTTCAAGCCCATTCTTGTCCATTCAGCCCCATTCATCTTCTCTGAGAGTTTTTATCAGCCTGAAGGCTTTTCAAGGAATGGACTCTGCCTCTGTCATGTTGTCACAAAGACCTGTTGCGTTGTGGGCACTAAATAAATAATAAATATTGAGTACTAAATAAATAATAAAAACTGCCTGTACTGAAAAGCCATCCTCCAGATTAATGCTGCTGCTATAAACAAACCAGGCTTTGAGCTGGAGAGAGCAGCAGGTTCCTCGGGTGGTCTGACACGGCGTGAGTGGCAGCTACCATCATTAATGCAGGGCTTTGATCTCTGAGATAAGAGGTTATTCCCCCGTGGCCCTTTGGCATGAGGAACCAGTGATAGACTGACAGCAGTAAAACATGGCCATTTGAGAGGCTTCTCCAGCATTTTATTCTCCAGATTAGATCTCCGGAAGGAGCTGTTAGAGGGGAAGAAATGATGGAATGGCCGGTTATGTGACCGCTGTGACTCATTAATATATCAAAATTTATGTCCAGGGTACCCTCACAGCTGGTCCAAACCAACTCTTAGGAGCTGGATTCTCTCTTGTCCCCGTGCTTCTATTGCCTAAAGGCCTCAGTGGGAGATATGCTGAGTCTTTTAACAGCTTCCTGCATTCACTCTGGATCCAGGAGTTTTTGACACAGTGGAGCCTTGGCCGTGCCACCAGCACAGGCTTCAAGTTTGTTCTGCACCTGTCTCTGTCTCTTCAGCCGCCTTTCCAAGTGCCACAACAGCCAGTTACAAACTGTGGTGACACAGACACATGTACTGAGAGCCTCCTGCCTCACTGGGCAGGAGGAGCTGGGCTTTGGGTGTCTTCTCAGGTTGTCTTTGTGAAATTAGCAGAGCAGCAAGACAATTGCTGGGAGGTGATGATGGGGGAGCTCATTTTATTGAATTTCAACCCCTGTACTAATAAATCACAGCCTCAACTGATGGGAAAAGTTGTCTTTTGCAAGTGGGGAGAAGACCACTAGACAGTATTCACTGCCAGAATACAAGTCAATTGAGACCTGATTTTTTCACCCAGAGGTCCCCAGGCCA